AATAATAATAATAATAAAAACTAATGATACCCCAGCTACATACTACATAGAAGATAATTTTTTAATTTCAAGTAAGTGAATAGGACTGATATGACACATATGATAAATGACAACAATGATAATTATATAATAATAATAAAATAATAATAATTATTATTATTATTGTTGTTGCTATTGCTGATAACAAAAACTAACTTTTTGTTAGTAGGACAGATATAACATTGGGTGATAAATGATGGCAATGATAATTACATAATAATAATAATAATTATAAAATAATAATAATAATTATTATTATTGTTGTTGTTGTTATTGCTGATAACAAAAACTAACCTTTTGTTATGTTGTTGCTGTTGTTATTGCTTACCTTGGGTAGTTGCACATTGATGATGCTGATGATGGAAGGTGATGAAAATGTGATGGTGACGATGATAAGATGGAGCTGAAGATGTTATATTATATAATAATTATATAATATATATACATATGATGATTATTTGATGAGTGTATAATATGATTATGATTATGATGATGAATGAATATTTATTCTTCTATAATTAACAACAATTCTTCTTATTCTTCTTATAATCATTTTATAATGGAGTTAATCATGAAGACGACGAAGATGACGACGACGACGATGATGTTAGTTTTGGTAATGATGGTACTAGTGAAGTTAGTAGTATTAGTAGAGTAGTAGTGGTAGTAATGCAATCGAAAACAGTTTGAAAAACTCTTCATTTAAATTATTAATTAAGTATTAATTAATTGATTAATTTAACTAATGTTTGTTTCTGAATTTGGTGAAAAAGTTTGTTCGTCTCTATCTATCTTTCTATAATCTATATTTTTATAAAATTTATATTATAATTATCATGTATGTATGCATCTGGTATCAATTCTATTCTATCATTAATAATATTTTATAATAAAAATATAAATTAAATATAAATATAAAATAACATGATTTTTCACCAAAGATAGGAAATTTTATTCATTTTAAGAGTCTACATTAAAAAAAAGACACACAAATTATCTCCCATTTCAAATCCACTCCACACTAAATAAGCCATCAACTGAATAAAACCGCGAAAAACAAATACACACGCATGACAACAACAATTATTTGTTTAGTTTGACGACGACGTCACCAACGACATCAGAACATAGACAACGTATTAATTTTTTATCACCATTTTCATAAACAATCAAATTTTATATATAGATAATATACAATTGCTTAACATATACTTATATATTTATCAAATTATTTGTATATTAATATATGGCATGTAAAGGCATAACATATATATATATGTATATATATATATATATCATATATTTTTCTTATTCTAATTATCATATATAAACATATAAATATATATAATATACTTCTCACAATGTAATTATATTCTATTTATGAATGTATGTATATATATATATATATATATATATATATATATTAAGATGGTTGTAATTGTAATGAAAGTTTCAACATTGTTGTCCAAGATTACCTATTAATTTTATTATTGTTTAATATGTATGTTTTTGAGTAAAAGGTACGTTACATTATATTAAAAAAAGTGTTCAATGAAACATTATCAAATTTATAAACAAACTGAATCTGTGTTTATACTAAACATACGCATCTATATACATACATACATACACAAGTTTAAAACTTAAACACGTATTTACAATATTTTTCTGATAAACAAATTAAACAAAAACTAAACCTTTACATTAAACAACAATGGTATATGATACAGCATACACATATATGATATAAAAATAACATATATGTATATATATATATATATATATATATATATATATATGAGAAGTTCTTAGCTGATAATTTGTTAAGAATATTATCATTCAGTTTTGAGTAGGTTACAAATTTAAAACTGCTATATACTATACTCTAATACTATATATATATATATATATATTTATAATGTTTATATATTCGTATATGTATATGAATATACATATATATAATTGTATTTTCACATATATGTGCTTATATATATGTTATATTTATTATTTATGCAGTGTTGTTATTTATGCATGCTCACATTTCGTCATTATTATCTCTAAACTTCGTGAAAGAAACCCTCCTCGACATTAGCACTATCTCACTCCTCTTCAACCAATCATCTTCTAGATAAGTTTTTCAGCATCAGTAAAAGTATATATGTAATGCACATATACAAAACATACAGACGTATGAGTGTGTGTTTGTGTGTGTGTTTTATCAACTTATATATATATATATATATATATATATATATATATATATATACATAAATATACAAATGTCTATTTGCTAATCATGTATAAATACAATAATACATATATTAATTTATTCACGTATGTGTGTTTCTATACACCGTGCTACCTGCTATATACTTTGTATCTTCAAAGCAAACAAAACAATGTATTGTTTGTATGTAAGTTTATGTGTTGTATGTATTTTATACTTTGTTTATGCATCTATCTATATCAACCATCTTTGTATGTAAACGGTTGTAATGGGAGATTTATATAGCGCTTTTTAAATAAAAATATCAAAAAGCTTGATGTTTACATCATGCGCGTATGAATGGATGGATGGATGGATGTATGGAAGGATGGATGGATATATGGAAGAATGTGTGGAAGGGTGGTTGCGTTGTATCTCCATTCTTTTTTGTTATGATGATGATGATGAAGATGATGATTATGATGTTTAGTTTAAGAGGCATTTCAGATGTTAATTTATGTTGCGATGTGTTATGTCGTTGTGTTGTAAGGTGTAACGTTACGCGAGATGTTATATAGAGGTTGTATGTTTTAATTTCGTCCGTGAAACTCTGTAGACATTCGTTTTTTGTTGGCCATTATATCCTTAAAAATGTGTTGGCAATTCTCTGAGGCAGACTTTGTAGCTCCATTCAATAATTGAAAATTCTGTTATTTATAAGAAAAAAACCTCATCTTTTAAGTCCAATTTGGTATCTCTTTTCAAAGTGTTGTATAATTATCTGAAAATCATTTTAGACTGTTCACCAAGTTGTTCTGCAGTATTCGACCATAAAGTCTGATGAATGCTAATTAACTGAAAACGAATAATGAACCGACTCAGCTTAAAATATTTTAACATCCTTGGGCACAAATTTAAAAAGCAAATCGTGTGGAATCAAGCCACTGCCATCTTACTAAAGAAAACTCATCAGTTGTCAATTTTTCCAACATCTTAGTTGTCCCTCGGCAGAATGCCGTGTGTTTTCATGAAGAATGAATCACGGTGGCGAACTCGGGTTAAAAATTACTTACTTCACTGGTTTAATAATTTTAAAACTGATACAAATTTAATACTCTCTGTATAAATTTCAAGGTTGAGTGTGCCGCAGATAACTTTTTTTTATATCCATCAAGCCAACAGTCGACAAAGAAATGGTTACTAAGAGGCATGAGACAACCCTTAAATGTTGCCTACATTGACAATCCCTGAAGTTGACATTGCTGCTACAACATTCATTTCATCAGTAAACGACAGAAATAGTCCAACAAACAAACCAACCAACCAACTAATCAGCCAGCCAATTAACCGACCAACTAATCAGCCAGCCAATTAACCGACCAACTAATCAGCCAGTTGATTGTATGATTTATAAATTAACAAATAAAATTCCAATCAGAAAGATGAGAGAACAGATACCGGTAGAGTACATAGTAGTCAATTAAACATACTTAATATCGTCCCATGATGACATGCAAGTCCATGTGCGATTTACGAACGGAGCGTACATTAACGCAAAAGGCACAAAAAATAGAGGAAATACAAATGCGTGGAAATACGTTGCTACATACCGCCTTACCAAAGCAGCCTTCAACAGTGAAAAATTAATGCAAAATGGTGCTTCCGTCCCAGGCATAAATAAAAAAAAGTGAAGTTGCAGCGTGAAACGTGCGATGGTTTGCGTGCGAAGATTGATCGGTTTATTAAGACATTAGTGCAGTGAGATAACATGATACTCCACACGTGTGCTTATGACGTATGTGTCTTTCTGTTAATGCAGCCGCTAATATGCATTTGCTTGTATGTTTGGATTCGAACGAATTTGTGAATACGATTTTTTGTATCAATTCATGTCTGTATTCGGGCATGTATGCGTCCCTACGCTTACATATCAACACGAGTTATGTTCGAAGCGTGTATTTATTGTTTGTAAGCATTTATGTGTTGTTGTTGCCAATTATTTCTACCATTGCTCATTTTATTATCTTTTTAAATACGCACGATACTCAGGAATGTGCACGTTACAGCGTGTATGTCTGTTTGTTAAAAAGAGCGAATAATTAGTTTATCGGTATTTTAAAACGGTTCCCAAATACCGATTTGTTGATGAAGTTATGCGAGCTTTTCGGTATGTTTGAGAAAAAAACATTGCTTTGATGATGTTTTGAATGTAATTGTTAATATACGTGTTTATATCTTTGTAGGTACGCGTTCATACGTTCAAAATAAATTCATTACGTTTAAACACATGATTCTTTGCACGTGTGGATATGTAGGCATTTAAACATTATGTCTGAAAGCATGTGTTTGGACTAGAATGTATGTGCGTGCGTGTATAAATAGATACAAGTTCGGTTATATGTATATATACTATATATACAGATAGATACGTGAGTGTGTGTGTGTGTATTTGTTGTGAAAGTCCGTATTTTCTACTGTTTGATAATGAGAAGCATATTCTGTTAAGTCAACAATAAAAGGCGATGATGACGATGAATGATGTTGTTCCTTGAAGATGACTACACTGATGATGATGGGAAGAAAATTAACGATGATGATGATGATGATGGAATAGACAAAGATGATGATTACCTGCATTATTAACGATGATGGAACGAGAGAAAGAGAGAGAAAAAAGAAGAAAAACTAATCTAAAGAAGCTTTGCGTTTGATTAGGGGCTATTCCCAAAAGAATTTAGTAACGATACATCAACAGTGAATTACTTTAAATTATTTATTTCGCTTTGAAAATTTGTAACAATTCGTATTTTGAAGGAAACAGAAAACAGAAACAAAATGAATTCCTAAATCAGTCAGTAGTGTCAGTACTAGAAGAGTCTCAAGTCAGTCAATTCTTCAACCTCTTCAAAATCCCAATACATTTCCGCTTCCAGGGTCTGAGTGGCGGGAATTAGAAAACATTTCAACGTTAATTATTGTAACATAATAAATTTTAATCCAATTGTGAAAAGAATGACGTGAACAATGGTGATGGATGATAAATAATGTAATGTAATGTAATACGATATGTAATGTAAAGTAATATGATATGTAATGTAATGTGTAATGTAATATATGTAATGTAATGTAATATGATATGTAATTTAATGTAATATGTAATATAATGTAATATAATATGTAATATAAAGTAATATGATATGTAATGTAATATACAATGTAATGTAATATGATATGTAATGTAATGGGTCATTCTCTGTCAACTTGAACCATGGTCCACGCCCGACCATCTCCGATTTTTTTTAAATTTGAACAGTAAGTACCTCAATGTATTTCATCGACAAAATAAAATTTTTATAAAAAAATTTCAATTATTTTTCAAGTTATGAAGATTTTTGTGACAGCATCCTCAAATTTTTGAGCGATTTTTTTCAAAACTTGTACCTACGTAGAACGCTATATCTCTTGAACTAGCCAACATATCTTGATGAAATTTTTTGTGCATATCAGTGAAACAATGTAATACAAAAAAAATAAATGTTATTGTCTCGAATCAAAGGATAT